AACTAAGATGCAAATGACAAGAAGGAGGTTGGCCTGTGGAAATTTTTCTGGGGCAGGTGTCAGAGGAAAGCTATCAGGTGAAGGGAATAGGTAGAAAAAAGCTCTACAGCAGGAAGCAAGGAGGAACCAAAGAAGTGGTATGAGGGAGGATGGTAGAAGATATCACTATCAAATCAAGTAGGCTCTGCCAACCAGGGCAAGGGATTTGAAGTTGGGTGTTTTGTTTTGTTTTGTTTTGTTTTTTAAGATTTTATTTATTTGAGGGATTGTGAGAGAGAGTGAGCGAGCGAGCGAGCACAAGGAGGGGAAGGGGCAAAGAGAGAGAGAGAAGCAGGTCCCCCCTTAGCAGGGAGCCTGATGCAGGGCTCCATCCCAGGACCCTGAGATCATGATCTGAGCTGAAGGCAGACGCTTCAACAGCTGAGCCACACAGGCAGCCCAAGGGATTTGGATTTTATTCTAAGATTACCATACTACCTATAGGGAGGATGAATTACAGTAAGGCAAGCAACTGGGAACTGTGACATAATCCAGGCGAGAAATTATAGGGCTTAGACTAGAGACGTGACAGTTCATTGAACAAACATTCAGTGGAATAGATGAGCAGCAGGTGTATCAAGAACTGTACCCTTAGGTAATGTATGCTATCTATGCCTATCTATTAAAAACAGTCCCTACACATCTCCTTTGTAGGACCTGGTTGAAACACACACACTACATAGAGTTTATGCTTCTTTTTTAAATAATTAGTCTCACAAAAATGTTGTAAAAATAGTACAGAGAGTTCCCATATTCACAGCTTCCCTTAATGCTAACATCATATATAACCAAACTAAGACATCAATATTGGTACAATACTATTAACTGAACTATAAATTGATTTCACCAGTTTTCCCCCTTATGTCCTTTTTCTCTTCCAGGATCTAATCCAGGATCCCATACTGCATTTGGCTGTCATTTTAGTCTTCTTCAGTCTATGACAGTTCCCTAGCCTTTCCCCATTTTTCATGACATTGGCATTTTTGAAGAGTATTGGTCAATTATTAGGTGGAGTATTCCTCAGTTTGGATATTTCTGATGTATTCCTATGGTTAGATTGTAGTTATACATTTATGACAAGAATACTAGAGAAATGATATACTCTTTTCAGTGTATCACAACAGGGGGTACATGATGTTATGTCTTATTACTAGTGATGTTAATCTTGATCACTTGGTTAAGGTGGTGCCTGCTGGGTTTCTCTATTGTAAGATTATTTTTTCCTTTTAATTATTAAATTCTTGGCAGAGATACTTTGAGATTATGCAAACATCCTGGTTTCACCTTAAGCTTTCAACCATAAGTTTTTCTACTTCATTCTCCTACATTTATTAATTGGAGGTTTCTGTATGAAAGAGCTATCCTGGGGCACCTGCCTTCGGCTCAGGTCATGATCCCAGTATCCTGGGAATCAGGCTCCTTGGGAAGCCTACTTCTCCCTCTCCCACTCCCCCTGCTTGTATTCTCTCTCTCTCTCTGTCAAATAAATAAATAAAATCTTAAAAAAAAAAAAAAGCTATCCTGTTACTCTTGTTTTTTTCACTTAGTTCTTTATATCATAATAGACTCATGGATATTTATTTTACTCTACGGAATATGTGCCAGTACTGTTAGTTATTATGTTGCTCGAACTGCTTCAGCTTTAGCCACTGGGAGCTCTTTTGGGCTGGCTCCTGTGTCTTTAATATATGATGCCCTTCTTTCTGAGCACTTTCTTACTTTTTGACACTGAATATTCACTAGGCTCATCCAGTATTTTCTATTCCCCAGTCCTGGAATCAGTCACTGCTCTGGGGATCCCTGATTCCTTTCATTGGAGGATGGTATTTAGAAACCAGTATGTGGGTGCTAGGTGTACTCACTGCTATTTTAGGGACTACTACTTTTAGGCCTTCTAGGTGGAAAGAGCTTGGAAATATATCAGTGATTGACAGGGGTAGGAAACTGGGGGGGGAGGAATGACTCAAGAAGTAGCACAAGAGAATTCTGGGGTGATGGAACTATTCTGTATCATGACTGTGCATTTGAACTACACACTAAGAAAGTATGAATTTTACTGCACCTACATTAAAAACAAAAACAACCAGAATATAAGGAGAACAAAAATGGAATACAGATTAACAAATGAATCTAACTGTATTACAAATGAGTAATATAACCACGCTGAAGATAGAGGAGAAAAAAAAAATCTGAATTTTGGAAACCAGTATTTCAACGGGATGCTGAAAAGCTAAACACAGAAAACTAGACCAGTATACACGCACTATACTTATTTAGTAAACTTGTTTCCGCTTCTTACAGGGGTATAGGTTAGTAATTCTGAAACTCTTATGGATATACTAGGATTGCACAAATAAGTAAATATAGTGTAGATAATGAAAGCCAAGTTTCTCATGATGGGAGAAAGAAATTACAAATAAGAAGGCTAGGGGCACGTGCGTGGCTCAGTTCTTAAGCATTTGCCTTTGGCTCAGGTATGATCCTAGGGTTCTGGGATGAACCCCCCACTGGGGCTCCCAGGCTTGGGAAACCTGCTTCTCCCTCTCCCACTCCCCCTGCTTATGTTCCCTCTCACTGTGTCTCTGTCAAATAAATAAATAAAATCTTAAAAAAAAACAAACACCAAAAAACAAGTAAGAAGGCCTGAATGGTCCCTGTGGTATTGAACTGGAATCCTAGATATCACTATGAATTCATGGTTTAAAAAGAATTGTCTGGGGAGCCTGTGTGGCTCAGTTGGTTAAGTGTCTGCCTTAGGCTCAGGTCATGATCTCAGGGTCCTGTGGTTGAGCCTGTGTTGGGCTCCTTGCTCTGTGGGGATCCTGCTTCTCCCTCTCCCCTCTGTTCATGCTCTTTCTCACTCGCTCTCTCACAAACAAAAAAATAAAATCTTAAAAAAATAATAAAATAAAAAGAATGGTCTGTGTGGTATATAGAAAATATATAACAAAGTTAGAAACAATAAATATAAACACACAGACACACATATACATGTGTAAGTATACACGCATTTGTTTCTAGGCCTATTTTGGGTTCTTTACATTTACTACCTCACTGAATATTTTTATTTTACCTTTTTTTTTTTAAGATTTTAAAATTTATTTTAGAAAGAGAGAGAGAGCGACAGAGCGTGCTTGCACAGGTCAGGAGAGCAGCAAAGGGGGAGGAAGAGGGAAAGCAGACTGCACACTGGGCCTCAACAGGAGGCTCAATCTCACAACCCTGAGATCACCGCCTGAGGTGAAACCAAGTGTCAGACACTTAACTGTGTTAACTTAAGTGAGCCACCCAGTGTCCCTCATTGAATCTTTGTACCAACCTTTTGAGAGAAAGACTGTTACTATCCCATTTTACAGGTGAGAAAACTGGGAGTATAAGTAATTGGGGATATGGAGCTACTGCATGACAGAGCTCAAACAGCAACCTCTGTAGGCTGGTTCCAGAACCTGAGGTCAGAGCCTTATGTCATGTGACCATCTCCTAATTAAGTTTTAGAAGTCTGGATCTACTATGAAATCACTGTAGAATACATATTGTTTCATTTTTCCATTAAGAGATCTAGAGATCATTTTCCTCTCATAGTTACTATTCTTCTCATGCTGGCCATCAAAAGGAATCACAGGATTCCTTGAGAGCAACTATATTTTGTCTAGTAAGGAAAAAGGACACTGAAGATATAAATACAAAAACTAACATTTATTTTTGTTTGTTTTAAAGATTTTATTTATTTATTTGACAGAGAGAGACAGTGAGAGCAGAAAGACAAGCAGGGAGACGGAAAGGGAGAAGCAGGCTTCTCACCGAGCAGGGACCCTGATGTGGGGCTCTATCCCAGGACCCTGGGATCACCACCCAAGCTCAAGGCAGACACTTAACGGCTGAGCCACCCAGGTGCCCCTAACATTCACTGAACCTTACTATGAGCCAAGTACTTCTTAAAACTTTTTATAGTAGTGGACTAACTCATTTAATTCTCATAACAATCCTATAAAATAGAGAACGGTTTTTATCTCTGTTTCATAGATGGGAAAACTGAGGCACAGAGAAGTTATAAAAGTTGCCTAGAGTCACACAGTTCAAGCAGTAAAGCCAGGATATATAACCACTGCACTAAGCTACCACTCTTAAGAGCTGTGCTTTTCAGTTGCAAGTATCCGACAAATCAAATAAACATCAATAATTAATATTAAGAAAGCAATAAACCATAAAAGGAAAGTTAAGTGTTCTAACGTTATAACATTGACTCTAAACCTACATATTTTAAGAGCTAAGTGTTGTACCTAAAATGTTTAAAAGAAAAAAGCCTCTGTCTTCCTCATTCAATTAATCTATTTTATTTTATTTTTTTTAAAGATTTTATTTATTTATTTGACAGAGATCACAAGTAGGTGGAGAGGCAGGCAGAGAGAGGAGGAAGCAGACTCCCCACTGAGCGGAGAGCCCGATTTGGACCTCGATCCCAGGACGGGATCATGACCTGAGCCGAGTCGGGATCATGACCTGAGGCTTAACCCACTGAGCCAGCCACCCAGGTGCCCGGATAAATCTATTTTAGATATCTCAATGCTTTCTAGTGATTTCTAAGACCAGTAATTGCAACTGATAATTCTCAGATTTGCATTTGCTTCAAATTAAACCCACTTAAGAGCAGTTTCTCTGCCAAGTAACTTGTCATTATTTTTTTGGTCTGTGTCTTTGGCAGCAGGTATTTAAGGAGGTTTTAAAAACTGAACAAAGAACTTAGAAAATAATTGAGCTACTTTAAAACTCTTCTCAGTTCATTTTCCCTTTGAATTTAATGTCAAGATTAAAATAATAGTATAAAAGTAAAATAAGCAAGTTTATAAAAAATCTTTTCCTCAGAATACATAAGCAAAAAATACACATAGCCATAATCATTTGAGTAATATAATGAAAGCCATAAATATTTGACAGTTATCATCAAATGCTAGCATATATACCTCATGTCTTGGATAAGAGAGACCCTGAGTGTTGGCAACATAACTCCTGAGTCAGATTTTCTTCTTTCTGGTCCAAGGGCAACTATGTAAAAAAAATATCAGCAAAGTATTAGAAAAATAATAGCAAGGACAAAAAAAAAAACCCAAAAAACTACATGGTTCACATTCTATAAATAAATTTATTTTATATTTTCAATTTACTTTGGTAAGAACTAAGCTCAATTTTTCCCATCTGAATGGTGCTCCTTTATTAATACAGTAAAAGCTATTTTCTTTCTAATTAATCTGAGGCTGCATTTGCAAATTTAAAATGAGTCATAAAAGCCCATTTAGCAAATAATGCAATGGGTGCAAAGTCTGGCCATGAAGACCAATCATACAACTTACTCATTCTAATAGTTCTGGGTAACTATAAGAAAGCAATGTCTATAAATTAAGTTACTAAGTATGTCAATTATCTCTGGGCTCATGAACTGCAATCACATAATTTCCTTCACCGTGAAAGAGTGCTTAAAATGGAAAATCTTAAGAGTCTGGTACTCTTTGGTCTGGTAAGTTTCTACTTCAAAGTTCAGAATCCAAAGTACAGTGTATCATGCAAAGTGAATAATTTAAATGGACATTAAGAAGTATAATGTCTGTGAGTCATTCTCTTTGGAGCTTGAATGGTTAACATTTATAAAAGAAGGAAAGATTGTTCCCTTATACAGCCATAGCTAAGCAATCATTTGTTGGCTAATGTATTGCAGTTGGGAGTGCTCCATCTCACTTTAAATGGGACGCTGTGGAGTCCTGTGCCCTTTATCTCCCTTTTCCTATCTGTGAAGGAAAAGGAAATTGCAACATCACACTTTGCAAATACACTGATAACATTAGAATTTAAGTTGTGGGCTTTACTGTATGGTAAACATACATTTTCTCAGTTTTTAGATCCATTGAGCTTTGGAGAGGCTATGGTCCAGTGCGGAAACACACAGGTATGTGAAGCTGGCACTGAACATTCTGGGGTCTTAGGATCTACATGTCTCCTGTGTTTCGGCACCTGGTCAAAGTGGCTGGTCTGATACTTAGCAGGTATGAATGAGCACTGATAGGGCTGCCAGGACAACGAGACTGGCCAGGCCAACCTAGAGGCAGTTCTTTTGAGGGCCTTCCACACCAGGTGGGTGATAAATAGGCCATGGAGTTTTCAATGGGTAACCAAAAACATGGCTTTATCTTGATTATCTTGGTACCCAGGAGGTAACAGACACCAAGGAAACTGTTCCAGTGGCTTGTGGAGAATGTGGTATGTTAGTCTTCCTGTCTAAGACTCTCACCATTGAAGTATGTTGTTAATGAAAGCAGACCTCTCTTTCTGAGGAGAAAGTGAAATAGTAGAGAACGCTTCTATGCTCCAGATGACTAGGGTGCGTAAAAGAGGGCCACATCAGTGGTAAGAAATAGGTGGAAAAGAGAAAAAAAAATCATGAGGCAGGTGAAAGGAACTGAAACCATAATCAGCAATGTGTCTAGAGGGAGACATGACAACAAGAAGTAATCATGCCTCTGGAAGCAGAGAGCAGGCAAGAGGCTTAATAAAAAAGGGGCCTGTCATTTAAAGAGCAGCAGCACCCACAGTAAGAGCACTCACAGGCCCAAGCATCTTCCGGGCATTCTATTTTAGAACCCTATTTTCTCCACTCTTTGCTGATCAATGTTTCTTAAACATATGATGTACTTCTTTAAAAACCTTTTTTAAAAGATTTTATTTATTTACTTGCCAGAGAGGCAGGCAGACAGAGGGAGAAGTAGGTTCCCTGCTGAGCAAGGAGTCCTATGATGGGTAACTTGATCCCAGGTCTGAGCTGAAGGCAGCCCCTTAACCACCTGAGCCACCTAGGCACCCCCATATGATATACTTTTTATGTCTCCATGCAATTGGTTGAAGCCTTTAGCTCATCCTTTAACACTTCTGTATCTTTCTCCTTGTTTACAGCCTATTTAGCCATTTTAGATTGAGAGCACTTTAGCTTAATAGTTAAGAACATGGCTTTCTCAAACCCTACAGAGAACTTAACAGCTCAACAACTTTGGGTGAGTAATTTAACCTCTCCAGGGTCTGTTTTCTCATCTGCAAATTGGGATCAGTAGCAATACCTACCTTATTCAAATAGATGCAAAGCATTTAAGAATACTGCCTGGCTCCAAGTAAGTTGTCAATAAATAAAATGAAACTTAGCTTTAGTTTTGCCTCTTTGTGCAATCTTTCCTAAATATTCTCCCTTCCCAAGGTACACTTTTAGATGTTGCTCCCTCTAATAGGACCTGTGAAACTGAACACATAATATAACCTTAGCATAATTTAACTTTTCTGTTACTATTAAACTGTATGTCTCTTGAAGCTCAGTCATATCCTTTTCTTAGAATACCTACAGGGGAAAAAAAAAAAGGAATACCTACAGGGCCTGGTGGGGACCACACACTACATATGTGCTCAACAAACACTCATGGAGGAAGAGAAGATTATTCAGGGCCAGATGGCGGAGACTTAAATGACAAATTAGAAATCTGCAGTACTCCTAGGATGGCAGGAAGGATTCTGAAAAGAATGCTATGCTCCTGAGTGCTTTTTTAGTTAGTTAACTAAAGAAATTAGTTAACTAGAGAAATAAGGGAGATGAGCTAGAAGTTATTTCACAGGCCAGCTTGTGGATGAACTAAGACCATGGCAGCCAGGGAGAAGAAAGAGGAGAAATATGCAGTGGAAAAAAACCCCAGAACTTAATGACTTGATGTAGAAAGTGAGCAAAACTCAAGAGTCAAAAACAAGTATGAATATGAAATGATTTAATAAAAGTTATCTCATTGAATTATTACTTTCCTTTGGATCTGTTCATCTTAATGTTGCAAATGAAGAAGCCAAGCCTCAAAGAGGTCAAGAAACCCGCCCAGTTGTACATGTTCATCAAAAGGGACAGAGTGTTCTGATGTCATGTCCACTGGGCTTTCTGTTATATTACAAATGACTTTCTAGCTTTGAAGCTTGATTGAGAGAAGAGTACTGATGCCATTAAATAATGTGGAAAGAAGGGAAAAAGCCTAAGAGGGACAGAGGGAGAGGTACTGAGATAATTAGTTTGTTTTCAAATTTGGTGAGTTTGACATCCCACTGGACATCACAAATGGATATGCAGGAACTAGGGCCAGAGAAAGAGATTTGTGAATAATTTGCTAACCAGAAAGTTGGAGGATGACATGGGAGGTAGGCAATAGTAGTTAATATTATGGTTTGAATTATGCCCCCCAAGAAGACAGAGAAGTTCCATTTCTCAGGACCTGTGAATTTGACCTTATTCGGAAATAGGGTCTCTGCAGATGATCAAGTTAAGATGAGGTCATTAAGGTGTACCTTAATCCAGTGTGACTGGTAGATGACCTTATAAAAGGGAAATGTGGATACAAAGATAGACACAAGTAGAGAAAAGATGATGTAAAGATACTTGGAATATGACATTTAAGGGCCAAGGAATTTCTGAGTGACCAGAAGCTAGGAGGGGAGCATGGGACAGATTCTCCTTCACAACCCTCAGAAAGGACCACCCTTGCTGACACCTTGATTTTAGACTTCTAGCCTCTGGAACTGTGAGACAATAAATTTCTGTTGTGTAAGCCACCCAGTTTATGGTACTTTATTATGGCAGCCCCAGGAAACCAATACAGTAATTTATTAGTGACTCTGGAGGGAACAATTCAGAAGTCTGTGAGCCCAAAGCAGTTGAAGTGAGGGAAGCCATACATTTCACTTAGAGATCTAAATTCTAAGGTTTCCATGAAGTCTACTCCAGAACAGAAATTTATATGAAGTCTACTCCAGAAGAGAAATCTATATACACTATTTAAATGTATACATATATTCCTACTTCTCATTTCAACAAATTTAAATGTAATAGGCCACTTTCTCCTTCAATATAAACATTTGTGGATTTAATATTTAGCCACAGGAATTCTTTTTGTGTGTCTGCGTGAATCAAAGCTGCTACAGAGGCAGCAAGTTTGCAGAGCACAGACACTGTATGTATTGTTTTTATAGAATCATCTACAGTCTATAGGCTGGTAAGTAAAGAAAAACTTTTTGTAAAGTGAGTTCTACGTCCAATGTGGGGCTTGAACTCAGGACCCTGAGATCAAGAGCTGCACACTCTACTGAATGCTAGGCACCCCAAGAGAAAAAAAATTTATTTGAGAGAGAGTGTGCAAGCGAGCCGATTGAGGGGGGCGTTCCAGAGGGAGATGCACACACCCCACTGAACAGGGAGCCTGCTAGACTAGGAGCTCAATTCCAGGACCCTGAGATCATGACCTGAGTCGAAGGGAGATGCTTAACTGACTAAGCCAGCCAGGCACCCCTCTAATAGAAAAATTTTGATGAAGATAATTGAAGAATATCTCAAATTCTTGGGCTAGACCCAGAATAACATTTAAAAGCAGTATTTCCACCTCCTCCTGCATCCTACTCCACTCCTTGCCAACTGATTTAAAAATCTATTTAAAGTTTAGTGGAATCTTGTCCAAAGATGCAAGGTTTAAGAACACCACCTATGTCTAAGCTGGCCAACACTTTTAAGACAGAAACTTCTGGGTAATATGCCAAGAACAGTCTTCTTTCTAGGATCAACTGCATTCTGAGATCTTGTCTCTGCAATAGGACTGTGAACTTCTAGATGCAGTGACTTGGTCAAAATTTGACTGGGTCAAAATTAAGACAGTCTGAAAGACATGTAGGAAACTTAAATCTGTGTTACTAAGTGAAATAAGCCAATCTGAAAAGGCTACATACTACATGATTCTTAACTATACGACATTCTGGAAATAGCAAAACTATGGAGACAGTAAAAAGGCCAGTGGCTGCCAACAATTAGGGGAAAGACATAGATAAATAAGTGGAGCACGGAGAGTATTATTAGGGTGGCAAAACTACACTGATTCTATAATGGTGAATCCACACCACTATACATTTGTTTAAATCCACAGAAGGTACAATACCAAGAGTGAACCCTAATGTAAACTATGGGCTCTGGGTGATGATGTGTCAATGTTCATCAACTATAAGAAACGTACCACTTTGGTACACCACTTTGATATGAGGGAGGCTATGCATATATGGGGAAGTATATGGGAAATCTCTGTACTGTCTGCTCAATCTTACCACGAACCTAATACTGTTCTAAAAAATAAAGTCCATTAAAAGAAATTAAGGTAATCTACCTGCTATGGTCTTCTTGTTAAGACAGACTTTTCCCTTTCTTCTACAACCCTTAAAATATCTCTGACTCGTGTTTTGTGTTGCTTTGGAAGGAAGAGTAATGATCTATCCCCAAATCTCATCCTGGCTCAATGTTAGTAACAGCAGTGTTCAAACCTACTGTGAATTTCTAAGCACATAGAGGATCTCTCCTTGATAGGAAAATGCAGACTTTATTACCATTAATTAGGATGCTTAACAGTTGGTAAACAGAAGTATTTTTTGGAAAAAACAAAAAACAAAAAACAAAAACAACCCACCCAGATTTAAAAGCAGAAAAATCAATAAACTGCTAATTTCTATATAATTAGACACACTGTTTCTCAATAATGAAGTATTTTATTTTTAAGCTAATGTTTTTATATTTCATACTGTCATATTTAAAGAATCCTAACTTTGTGGGCTGAATCATCAGAAGTGTTAGGGCAATATTTATAATAAAATCCACTCTTCCTAACAGACAGTAAATTTGATTTCAAAAGCTACATGGCTTACATTAATCCTACTTAGGATCAGTAAAATATTCAGCCTGTTGTTCACACGTCATGTGTTTACTGTATTCTCACTAGCCCTTCATCAACACTTGATAGTGTAGCACAAATAAGTGACTGCATGAGGCTTTGACATATTTGATACTTCTTAGCGTTGACTTCAGAGTTTTGCTGATCCCTCTACTGACTAATAAAAGGGAACTGCAAACAGCTGAGTCTCTGGTCACCACCTCAACCACCCAACATTTGACCAGCCAGAGCCATGAAGCTGCTGGTGTTGCCTGGCAGCTGCTCGCCTTCACAGCTGGACGTGCTGCATGCCATCTTTGGTGAAAGAGCCAAATACTTCCATCTCCCTGCCTTACTTAAGTAAGCTTGGTTTTCCAATGTTTCATCCCTACAAATAGCTTCTTCTTCCTAGAAATTTATTTTTTCTACTTAGGGTAAGCTATCTGGGTTATGGTCTTATGATCTGAAGAGCTAAATTTTCTATGAACACAGCTAAGTGTTAGAGATAGTTTCAGGGCATACACCAATGCATTTTTACTTTTTTCAACAGAAAAAGGGGCAAAGGAGATGGTTACTACAGAGTGCTTTTAAACTTGATTTCAATTTTTACAAATATAGTTATATCTTGGGACATCAGAACCTTGACATTCTGTTTAGTGGAACTTCAGGTTAATGCAGTATCAAGTTCATATTCCTAGCTGTCTCAGTAAATACCTTTAAAAACTAGGTTTCCATCAATCAACACCACATTTAGGGTAGTATTGCAATGAGAGGAATGGAAATAGGGTATGCTTCAATCGTATTTGCAATGCTTTCTTAAGCTGGTGGTTGGCTTTTAAGTATTATTTTTTTTACATTTCTGAATGTCTAAAATTATCCACAATTTTAGAAATGGTTCCCAAATTGCTGATTCAGTATAAAACACTTTTTATCTACTAGCTTTCCACCATTACTACTACTTTTTGTGAAACAGATCGTTATTTTATATAAAGAAAAATACATGGAAGGCAGAACATCTAGGAACCCCACATAACTCTAATGAGCTGAAGTATAATAACACTTCTATTTATGTGATGTCTTGCTATAAACTGAAGAAATCTGACTCCTGAAGACTTTTGAGACATATATATATATATATTATTAATGATGGTTGTAAAACTTCTTTAAGAAAAAAACCCCAGTATACACTACACTCTAACACTAATACAAGGTATACTTGTATGAACCTTTACAATTCATTAGGGGTTTCCTCATGTTATCTTACTCAGTCAACATTATAGTTTTACATAGCTTAACATTATTTTCCCTGTCTTATGGATGAGGAAGCTGAGTCAGAAAGGTCGAGTGACTTTCCTCACATCTCACAGCTAGTAATTTATTTTGCTTCTTCTACTTTATCCCATTACTGGCAAGGTGGGTAAGTTTCAGCCTGAGAGAGGTTTAAAGACAAAACATGGTACTGTTTCTTCACGTGGTCTAATGCTGCCAGTTCTGTAGAAATAATCTAACAAACTCTCACCTGGAGATTCTGCAAGGTGTTCTTGCTTCTCTTCTCTGTCCTGAAACTGAATTAAATGTGACCACAAAGCTGACTTCCCCTGAAATAACAAGGTATAAAAGTTTTTCATTTTATAAGCAATAATAAAAAAATAATTTCTCATCAAAACCATTCACATAAAAATGGCCATTCTGAAGTTTGGAGATCATCCATTCTTAGCTGTGTAATATTCTGAGCAACTCACTCTGTGTGAAATGAGTCATCCTTTGCCTCACCGAAAAGATGAGCAATAGCCTGGGGAAGGGCAGCACAACAAAAGGCCAGAAGTACAGGCATGGAGATTTCTGACTTCAGTTGGGCTGTTACCTTGTTGTATATAATTAGGACTATCCACACTGGCCACACTAATAACCACAGAATTAAAAGACTCTAGCAGCACAAAATGTATTTGGGTACATCTATAGGCAAAATATGCTTGGATGTATGGAATGGCAGTGAGGGGAGAAGAAAACTGGAGCCAGAGAAGAAAGAGAAAAGGGGAGGAAGAAAGAACATTTCCACAAGAGAAAAAAAAAAATCAGAACAGGATGTAAGAGGGACAAAAGCAAAGAAACCATTTGATTTTTTTTCCACCCTGAATAACTACATAACTTAAAATGGTAAAGAACTGTTAATTTTGGCTAACAGATTTTTTTTTTTTGTGGACAGCGACAAAAGCAGACACTTAATGGACTCAACGGGATATACCCTTTGCAGTAAATGTGCTGTTTTATCCTTTCCTGTTTACCAGGAAAGAGCCCCAAACCACCTCTTAATCATGGGTTTTATTTTCTTTTTCTGGAATTAAAAAGCCTGTGGTGCATTTCTAGTCATCCTGTGACAAAGGAGCGTATCCTTTAATTTTTATATCTTTTTCTCCTTGTTCATTTCCTTCTTTCTTTGTTTCTTTCTTTTAAAGATTTATTTATTTATTTGAGAGAGACAGACAGACAGAGAGATGGGATAGAGGGGCAGGAGAGGGAGAGAGAAACTCAAGCAGACCCCATACTGAGCATGGAGTCCAACACAGGGCTTGATCTCATGACCCTGACATCATGACCTGAGCTGAAAAGTCAGAAGCTCAACCAACTGAACCAGCCAGGTGCCCCTCCTTACATTTCCTGACAGGGTCCCTAACCAGCCACATCACCAGGGCCTCCTGAGACTATTACCTGCTTGATCTGCAAGCCGTGGCTCCATATCCTTTCCAGTAGGTCACAGAGGCTGGCGATCAAGGTGTTCTCTTCCAAGCCGGTTATGTTTGCTTCTCCATGGCCCAGTTCCACTGCTTCGTGTCCCATCTTCTCCACCAACATGCGCTTTGTCTGAAAGCATCATGTGTGGTCACAAGTGTTATCCCCGCAGTGAAGCCAAAGACCAACAATTCAACCACTAGATCAGAGGCTTCCTTCCATTATCCTTTTTTTTTTAAGAAGATGTTATTTTTAAGTAATCTCTATACTTAACGTGGGGCTTGAACCCACACCCCCAAGATCAAATATCACACACTCTATCAACTGAGCCAGCCAGGCGCCTCCCTTCACATACTTCTAATTGTAGACTCTTAATCACTTTTGGAAAAGCATTTTAATCTCTGTGGTCAACTAACTGCAGTAATATCACATGTACTTTTAGTACTTTGTCAGATAATTAGGGGGTCACTAGGGGGAGATTATGATACTATTTTATCTATCTACCTACCTACCTATTTATATTTTGCCTCCCCACAACACCATTTTAAAGTATCCCCATGTAAACACTTATGATTGACAATTTTCAGTTTACTAACTTGAGTAACACTGGGGAATTACACCAGACCCAGAAAATGTACTGAGAATCGGAATCCCACCCTGCCACAACTAACCCTCCACTGCCCCTGTATCTAGGCATACAGAGGATATCTGCAGTTAGTTTTGATTGCACTTAGGCAAAAACCACAACACAAACAGGCAGCTCTAAATTTTTTCAGAACCCCCTAAATTGTGAGTGAACCGGGCTTCTATTTACTTCCTGTTTTCCTCTTTTATCTTGTCTCTGCTCATGAGTATGCACCAGAAAATGGAAGGGAAATGGAAATCAGTTTCAAGTAAGTAATTTACAGCAGTCTCAGCTATACTTATAAAATGTAAAGTGAGAGAGAATCTAGTTCCTTTAGGTGGGGGGACCTTGTCTCTCTGACTCCACACTGTATGCTGATGCTGAAAATAGTGCATTTATTGAATACACAGAAGGTGCTCAAGAAATGACTATTAAATAAAAGAACGAAATTACTGGCTAAAATGATGTCCTGAATTTTGTCAATCTGTATTACTACCTTTGATAAACATGGTATCTAAGAAGAGACTAGTGTGTAATATACACAAACCTACAACACAGCTAAGGTCTTCTTCCTTATGGGTATACATACATGTATGGATATGGACAAGGCTCTATACAAAAAAATGTGTTACCTTTCATATAAAACAACCACATTTCTGCACACTTTTTAAAGTAGGCTCCACATCCAACATGGGGCTCAAGCACATGATCCTGAGATTAAGAGTCATATGTGCCAGGTGCCTGGGTGGCTCAGTCAGTTAAGTGTCCAACTCTTGATTTCAGCTTAAGTCATGATCTCAGGGTCATGAAATTGAGTCCCGCACCGGGCTCTGTGCTCAGTGAGAAGGCTGCTGGAAGATTCTTTCCCTCTGCCCCTCCCCTCACTCTCTCTCTCTCTAAATAACAAAACAAAACAAATAAACAAACAAAAAGTCCCCAAACAGTTGCATGCTCTACCAACTCAGCCAGCCAGTGCCCTACAACTTTTGACTGGCTTAATATCTGTTCATGTTTTAGAGGAAGACAGCAATGGCTGAAAAGGCTGAGGAAAAACTGTGCAGGGCTCCCATGTCACTGATTCTGTGGGCACTGGAGAACCTATGAAAGTTCATGAGCTCGGTAAAAAGAATGTTAGCTTTATGCTCCAGTAAAAGTTTTCTTCTAGGAAATCTACCAGTCCAAGTGGAAGTTGAGTGCATACTGTCTCACATCAGTGAATAATACGTACCTTCATTCTACATTCTTTTAATAAGCCTTCTACAAATTTGCAGTTGGTTTGTGCAATCACTGCAGGAGAGAGGTCTGACAATTTGGGTTGCCTCAGGTTTTTTCCTAAGCTTCGTGCCTCTTGCATATACTTCTAAAAATTAAAGAGCATTTTTAATATATAAACATCAGATAGTCTTCTTTCTTAACATTACACAAAAAAGTGAGGAAAAATAAGATGCGGAAAAGGCTGTAAATGTACTCATGCAATAGCAATTCAAGTTTTAGCGCCACCAATAGGCAGAGGACATTCCTACGCATCCCTTCCCCACACACCCCCCGCCCCCAACATTGTTAACTCCTGTGAAAATGAGGACAACAGAAATCGTGTCAGGTTAAAACACTCATAACAAGATAGAGCTCACCTAGTTTAATAATTTTATTGGGAGTACCCAAGGCTGTGATTAGTCAGGATCATAATAGGGATGAAAAAAATTTAGGTTTCTGGATTACCAAAGTTTCTTCAAGAACCCAGTGATTCTCAGATCACTGATTTCCTCCTCTCCCCACAGATAGAGACACTTAGCATACTTCTAGCCTCTTAGACAACACTCTCTGAACCAACCCTCTGCTCTAGTCAAGTCACAACAGTAAAATCAGGAGCTCTAGAATCTGGATGCAACTAATTTTATAAACTCAGGCACATTTGTTTATTTGTAAAATGGGCATAAAACACGCCCCCCTACCTCACAAGAAAGACTATGAACTCACTCTGAACATGTTTGCTACATTCCCTCCCTTGCCTTGTTCCACAATCGAGAGAAAGTGGGGACATTATATTACTTTCAGAGATAGTGATGGCTCAGAGAGAAACCCAGAAACTCAGAAACCCACTGCTCTTGAGCTTTAGTTAGTGAATGTCCAGGAAAAAAAAAATCACTACAGGTGATTACCACAGGACACCTGTTATATCTCTTCTTTCTGTGCTACCTGCAAAGCTCATCCAGATGCTTTATGTTTGCATCAGGACCACAGGGCAGAATCTCCAAGAAGCCCGAGTGTCTTAGGGCCATAGTTAGAGAAGAACTACTCTAAGTTATATAGTAAAACTAGCAGTTTGTTGAGGGGAGAGAGAGATTGTGAGCCAGCACATCCTCCCACAGGCACATATGTGAAATCTATCTTTACTATCTTAAGGGAAGAATTTGATATTACAAGGGAAAATGTGTAAAATCCTTTACATTCTTTATATAAAAGGGAGTTTGTGCATTTACAATATTTCCTCTTTGGAAGAAAAATAATCTACTAAATCTTGTACAAATTTCTAAAAAATCCCACTGATTAGGGATTCAACTGATCAGTTTACCTGCTACTACATAAACAAAATAATCTGTTTCCTTTCCAATGCAATCATTTTAAGGACAGATTTTTTAAAAAGGAAAGCTTTAAGAATTTAGTTTCCATAATATTTGTGTATACATCTTTCTGCTTAAATCTCTTTTAGAGGGTCCAATAAACAGGGAAAATTGAGAATGAAAGACAACTATCACCCTGGGGAAATTAAGTTTATTACCTTATTACATAAGGTCTATCAAAACATCCTGAAAGTTAGTTTTTGAAAAAATAAAAAGCAAGGAATGAAAAGTTTCAGAAAAACCAACCTGAGATATGAGGCAGAGATCCTATTTGAGAACTGTAACACCTACATTTCCTAACATTTAAGGTGGTACAAATATTAAAAACAAATGTTAACTTTCAAATGTTGAAGGGGTTATTTCTCCCCTGCCTTAGTTCTTCAACCTTTGGACTTGTGCAAAGGCAAAGAGAACTACTAGGACTCAGATGTCAAGAAGAGGTAAGGATCCAATTTAGCTGAGGAAGAAACACACTGGCTAGAAGAAGAGTAAGAAACACAGGCAAGAGGCTAGGAACAGGTGTTGGTATTTCTCTTTTTTCTGAAATATATGAATAATTAGATGTTTAAGTCCATAACTAGATAAGTAATTTAAGCACTGTTAAAGTTTATGGTTCTATTTTATAAATGAAAACAAGCCAGAATAGGGCTATCCTCTGACTGGCCATATTTACTAAGCACACAGCAGATCACATATAATTATTAGCCAACAGCAAACTCCACAGGGCGATGTCTCCTCCTGAGAGCAGCTCTGCTGAAGCCATGGAATGAGCAACATTCTTTGCACATACACACAAAGGATATGAGCCCCTTCTTCACATTAAGAAGTGATATTGCCTCTGTATATTGCAAAAATAGAACACTTGAATTTACAGTAAACAAGTGATGATAAAAATATAATTTTCTTTGGAACAGCTGGAGGAAAAGGTGTATTTTAAGGTAAAAAATGGAGAAGAAAGAGAAACCTTTCACAGGGAATGTTTTTGTAAGAAAGTCCATTTCACTACTAGAAGGAAGTAACCCCAGATTTCTGAGATTTCTACCATGCTCTTTTTCATTTCTGTTAAAACCAAAAACAACAAACCAGGAGTCTTAAGTTACTCTTGCCCTCAGGTGAGTAGCTGTTGTGTGTAATCTGGTATACACAGGTACTGGGAAGAGTACCATTCTGGCTATCAGCAGTCCTGGGCTATAGACCCAGCTCTGCCTTAGTGTATCCATTTGACTTTGGCAAGTCTCTCGGACTTCATGTCATGTTAGACAAGATGACCGCAAAGGTTTCTCTTAGAACTAAGAGCCTATACTGATGACCTAATTTTCTGACCACATAAAATACAGACCATGAACAAAGGAAATAAATTTCAAACCAAAAACAATAAAAAACCCCCAAAACAAAACAACAACAAAAAAAACCCCCAAAAGAACAGATCAGGAAGGGTTTATTAAGACACGGAGATAAAACCCAGCAAGAAAAGAAAAGCTGTTCAAATGAATTATTTATTTCTGCAAAATGGTTAAATAAAAGGGAGTCTGATCATTTAATATATTTTCCCTTTGGAAGAAGAACAATGTGCTGCATCTCTGGCCCCTCTACACCACCCCCCTTCAAAATACCACTAGTTAGGAATTCAAGTGATCAGTTTTACCTGCCAACAGTATAGAAGTACTTCTGTTAGCACACGCCACCAGGAACAGGTAACAAACACAAGAGGAAGTAGAGAGCAAAATGGAGAGGCTGAGAGTTCATGCCACAAGGTGAAGTGAGGCATTCTACAGCTACGTGCACACACGCATGTGGACAACTCAAGGAACACCAAAGACAAGATTCAGGAACATCTGCAAAGCACTTTCAGGCAAAGAACATACCAGGCAGCACTCAGAGAAGGATTTTTTAGGAAGTCGTGCAGGAGGAGGTGGACCCTGATCCCACTCCCAGAATGCCATGGAGTTCTGACAGACCAAAAGTTCCCCGGAAGGCTAAGAGGATGGAGAAGTGCCAATGACAGAAAAGCAAAAAAGAAAAGGATAGAGAGAAAGAGACAAGCAAAACAGGCATGCATATGAAAAAGTCACAGCAAAAGGGGAGAGAAAAAAATATGGTAGCACAAAGAAAAGCACTAGACAAATTATGCTTCGGTTTTTAAGAAAATGTTTAAAATCATAAATGTATGAACATTTCAGCAAAAAAGCAATATATATATTGGGATGATGTTTTCTGCTTTATTTCTACACACCTGAGTTTAGAAAATAGTTAACAGATCTTCTGATTGCATTTTTCTTTGATCACAATAATCAAAACATACTTAAAATTATTCAAATGTATAATTATGGTTTTATTTTCAAGTAGTACAAATAAAGCATAAGGATCTTAGTTCAAAAATAATTTCTAAACACTTTAAAAAAATGGTGTCAGCAAGCCAAGGATAAAGCACAAATACATCTTTATTATACTAAGTTTCAATTATGCTTGAAACTTAAAAAAAATCTATTTCTTGTATATTTTTTTCTCTAGAGGACACATACTGACCAAAAATTTCTCTTAAACTTAGCTTTTACTTGCTGTGGTATACAGGGAGATTTGTTTTAAAGCCTGCTTTTAGGTGTATTAAAATTACAAAAATGGGGAAAAAAGAGGTGTCTTCTGCTGTATGTCAGTACAAAAGGATCACTATATTAAAATAAAACTGAGCCATTTTGCAAAAGAATGCGGAAGAACCTGCACAGCGACAACTGTTGGACTGAATAAGGCATCCTGGGAAGGCAGCCCACATACCTCCCGCAGGTCGTTGTCCAATCCAATGTGCTCTGAGTGTTGGCGAAGGCGGTCTTTCCTGCGCTGTGCAGTGGCACTCCGACTTACCCAGCGACTGGAAACAGAGCCACACCCAAGAAGATACAGGTTAAAACGAAAACCGAAATAAACATACAAAAATGTGGTAACTTATTTTTAAAATAGAAAAAATGTACTCTTTAAGACAAAAGACTACTTATTTTTCAATCAATTCTTTAAATACAGAAAGGTTTATTGTGATACAATTGAATACCATATAGTTCACCCATTTAAAGCATATAATTTAGTGGTTTTTATTATACTCCGAGACATCAACCATCACTACAATCAATACTTTTTAAAAACTGAGGTTAAAAAAAAAATACACACTATCTCCTCCTCTCCTTCCCACTTTACTGTCCGTCCAACAGAGCCCCAAATCCTGGGTGAATACCATCCTCTTACTTCTCTGTTCTATTTATGTGGATTAGTTCTTGATTTCTGTCATGACTCCTCATGAATCACTTTACCTGCCCTTCAGCTCTCTCCCACTCCCCTCAAAAATAATTTCAAACCTTCTGCTTTATCCTCAAGTGCCTCCCCTCAACTGATAACCCACCCTTGACTCCTTCTTCCTGCCCTCTACTGACATGATGTATACACAGACCCCTCATGTTTCTTTTAATCCCAAAGTATAAAATATATCAGCTATGGCTCAAAACTAATTCTGTCACCTAGAAGAAACTCCCTGACCAATTCTCTCTTGACTTCTTCAACCTGCTGCACTAAGTAATCTCTTTTTCTATATCTCCAACTTTTCTCTCTCAATGGAGTATTTCCCTTCAGCTTACAAGCATGCTGGTCTCTCTATGACCCTCCACAGTTTAATCACTAAGTTTCTTTCTTCACTCCTCTTATGAAAAAATTCTTAAAAAGAAAATATGACATGTAAGGCCTCCACTTATTTACCTTTGGATCTTTAGTTTTTCTGAAACTTCATGAAGTTTCCCCCTGACTTCTATTCGTCTTTCAGATAGCTTCAATGCCACACAGGAAGTGTTCATCGATTCCTACAAATCTAAACTGTCTATCCCTCTTTTTTTTTTTTTTAAAGATTTTATTTATTTATTTGACAGACAGAAATCACAAGTAGGCAGAGAGGCAGGCAGAGAGAGAGAAGGGGAAGCAGGCTCCCTACTCAGCAGAGAGCCCGATGCGGGACTCGATCCCAGGACCCCGAGATCATGACCTGAGCCGAAGGCAGAGGCTTAACCCACTGAGCCACCCAGGTGTCCCATAACTGTCTATCCCTCTTAAACTCCTCAATTTTATTACCTGTCACGGTGTATTATAAACACTTATCTTTATTTTCTACAAAATTCTACTATAAACTCTTGAAGGGCTGGTATCTTTTCTGTCAGCTGTTTTTTTTTTTTTTTTAAAGATTTATTTATTTATTTACTTTAGAGAGAGGGAGAGGGAGAGAGCACGAGCGGGATGGGCAGAGGGAGAGAGAGAATTTCAAGCAGATTCTGCGCTGAGTAAGGAGCCCATTGTGGGGCTCAATCTCAGGACCCTGAGATCAAGATCTGAGCCAAAATCAACAGTTGGATGCTTAACTGACTGAGCCACCCAGGAGCTCCTGTAAGCTGTTTTACTGGCTGTTTGTACATGACCTGGCCCTTTTATAAATATACTCCAAATAAATAATCAGAGATGCAGCCCAAGATTTAAGTTTACGAACATTCCTCACAGCATGTATGTAATAACATTTTGTGTTTCCTTTATTCCAAGACTCACATTTTGGCTTCGAAATGTTCCTGATAGTAGGATGTGTCTCTATTCCATATGCATGTTTAAAGTATAATATTTCCAAAAAGCTTTTGAGTTAGCAGAAGATCTCACAACCAATATGTAAGGGCCTGGTTGGCCAGAGGGAGCCATTTTGTTGCGATGAACTTGTATTGACCCTGCCCCTCCCAGAGGAATTTGCTTGCAAAGCCTAGATACAAGGACGGGGGTGGAAGACATCCAATCGTGGGGTGCGCGTATATCCACTAGGGTGAATTGAAATTCAATTGGCCACCCGTGTGTTACCTAGCAGTTTTTTTTGTGTGTGTGTGGCACACTTAGCATGACTGTGCAGTTTTCTCTGTGTATTGCAATCTCATTGGCCACCTGTGTATAGCCCGGCTAAACTCTCTCTATAAAAGTTAGTCTGTGAGGCTGGGAGGGGTCGCCTCTTTGCAAGAGACGGCCCTGATCGGTCAGTAGGATTCTCGATGCTTGGCGTGAAATAAAGCTTTGCTTGACCTTCGCTTTGTATCAGTCTTGCTCCTTTGATTACGGACCCTAACACAATAGTTACTCAGAATCAAGTAAATGTACTCAAAAAAACCTAAATGTTCAAGAGTGGAGAGTGCACTCTACATTATGAAATATCACACAGTCATTTAAAAAATTAAGTTGCTAGGAATATTAATTTGGGAGAACATTCATGGTACACTAATGAATGAGAAAACAAGATAAACGCTGTATAAATAACATATTAATTTTGTTTAAAAAAAGTGTGGACATGAACACTAGGATCCATGCAATGGAAGGTCTAACAGCAAATGTTAGCATCTCATGGTGATGGTATTATGAGTGTTTTAAAATCTACCCTAACACTTCCAAATTTTCTAAATTTTCTAATGAGCATATATTATTATTTTATATCAAATTATTTCCAAAAAATTTTCAAATCTTGACTTATTATCCCCATGACTATGTATGCATCACACTTTTCTAAGAATATCCATTCTTGAATACATCCTTGCCAGCAAAGAGCTATATACAACTTAAAAAATGAATTTATGCTTTTGCCACTCAGAAAAAGTCATACTGTATTACTGCCAGTTCATTATTTTTAATTTTTTTTTATAATTTTATTTTTTATAAACATATATATATATATTTTTTCCCACAGGGGTACAGGTCTGTGAATCTCCACGTTTACAAACTTCACAGCACTCACCATAGCACATACCCTACCCAATGTCCATAACCCCCCCCCTCCCAAACCCCTCTGCCCAGCAACCCTCAGTTTGTTTTGTGAGATTAAGAGTCACTTATGGTTTGTCTTAATTTTTTATTTAATAAAGTAAGTAATTTACAAAAAGCTTGAAATGAGAATGTGGGTTCTTTTGTTGCTTAAAATAATTTATGCATGCCTTTGGTTTCAAGTTTCTGAATCATCTCATTTCAGTCTGCTACTTAGAGGAACACTGAATAATTATGATAAAAATAATAGCAAGAAAGGTAGTCCCTCTTAAAATAGTTAAGAAAAATAGGCTTATATTGGGACAAAAAGTACAAAGTCCTAGTGATAGATCTTCGAAACAGAATCCCTGGAACTGTCCCAACAGTAAAGGATCAAAGTAAGACTGTAAAATAGATACAAAGAAAACTAGAGTGACTGAGAAAGAAGATCCAGAAAAAAGCCCATTAGGACACTGGCAGAGATTCTTTGCTTGATTGAACTCTAGTTAGGCTCCTGAACCTTCTCCCAGGTCCATCTGTGCACTTCCTTATAAAATCCAGTTTTAACAAGAACCTTGCTAAGTCAGTTCAGGGGGAACCACCCCCTCACCCCGCCCCACCAACCTCCACATATGATCGTTCTTCATATCTAATCAGCTTCTACATCATCTATCACCCTTTATCACCCAGGCCTATCTTCAGCAAGAATCTTATTAGGTTGGTTTAGTCAAAATCCTCCCCCTTAACTCTGATGTTTCCTCTTAGTAATTTTCTCTCTACTCTGCTACTTGATTATAAATTGCTACTTATCCACATTGTATATGGAATAGAGTTCAATCTTTCTCCCACTGCAATGGTCCCTACATGGCCCCCCTTGAATGAAGTCTGTCTTACCATCTTCAACAGTGTCATGAATTATTTTTTAAACTTTTTTTATGAATTCTTTTTTAAACAACTTTGAAGCAGATTATAAATACCAGCTGATAAATTCATATAATAAACAAAGGGGAAATATAAGTAACAAATAAAATGTACAAAGACCTGGAGGCCTTAGAAATAGCTATGTAGCAAAAAAAGTCAGTGAGAGATAGTAAATTAGGGTTACTGGACAGGGTAGTTCAAATAAATAGTAAAAACAGGAAATACTTATATAATGAATAAAGAAAAGGAGTAGAATACAAATGGCAGAACAATTCCCTTGGCAGGCAAAAGTGGAAAAGGCTTTAGGTAAAGGAAAGGATAAATATTAACTTACATGATACACTTAGCATCTCACTATACATGCTGTGGGACAAAATGCCCTATTTTATTTTCAAAACAGGGATATGATCATCTGCTTAAGATAATTACTATGAATAAAAAAGAATTAAAAAAAAAAGTTACTGTGAAGTCTACACATTCCTGGTCTTGTTAAGGAATTACTTTTTTCTTTTCATTATTAAATCTCATTTTTATCAAAATCTCTATTTTTATCAGAGATCATCACATTTGCTAAAATACAAATGACTGCTTATACATCTCCTTATTGTGCAGTGAGTTCTTAGATCTTTTTTCTTTCAGACTAAAATCTACCTGAAAATGTAATACTTGGGTTTCAGTCTAAAAATGAGAGACCTTGGGGTTATATACAAGATTAAAAGCAAGAAAACAAGGCAGTAAAATTTAAAGTTGAAATCTTCCCTCCTTAATGCTCCTTACTTCCGTTTTCTGCTTCATTCTTCTTCACAAATCTTATCATTATTAAGTTATTTATTTTACATATTAAGTTTGTTTCCTCCTCCTTAAAAGCAGAGATTTTTGTTGTTTTGTTCATTGCTAAACTCCCACTGAATAGGACACTGCCTCACATACAGTCAGGGTTCCATAAATTTTTGTCAAATGAACGAATGAGTAATCTAATGCTATTAAAAGAAAATAAAAACTACTTAAATACTAATATGAAATAATTCAAACAATTAGGGTATTTTACAAACTCAGGAAAAATAAGTGAACTGATGATTAGTCTATTCTGATGGAAAATTCTCATTTTTGAAAAACAACATTATATCCAGTACCATCACCTGGAAAGTCTGAACCCCATAATGTTCAACATTTCTTCAAGAGTTGTAAGCTCCACTGATGTAATTCATAGCACTCCTTTTCCAAATATGTAAACGGATACTGACTGAAAATTTTCCAGACCTCTGGGCTTTATGAATGAGAAATCATGAACACGGTACCTGGAGTAAGGAGACCTGAGTTCCACTGCTACCTTTGCCAGTAACCCAGGCTCAGACTCTTACCGACACATAATAATGCCACTGTCTTCAGGGTTAGGCTATTTGACCTCAACCACTGCTTCATGTAGTTCTTCACTGGGGAAGATGGTGCCTACAAATCTCTTGCTTCTCAGAGAATTGTTCTATCTTCTTGGGGACCAACCCTTTTAAGAGAGTCCAGTTTAAGGCAGAAAGTGAGGTATGTGAGGGCTCTTTCATTGTGGAAGATCTTGTTACATTGAATACACAGAACGGAAGTGGCATTGAGCCCTGAATTTTCAGAAAGCACTTAAGAGATCAATGAAGGCAATAAAAAAGAACTAGAATTATGCCTTTTGACCTAAATGGCCCAAACTAAATAAGTCATAATATGGTTCTTGAAAGGTGGCTTAAATGTATGATGTTTCTTTCAGATCACTTGTGAAACTATGTATTATAAAATTTTTGGTACTTACCTCTCTTTCCCATAGTACACATTTATGTTCAATATTTTAGGTCATTCATAATTTCTTGGGGGCTACCAAAACACAGTTTCCAACTCCAAAAGTTAACAAAAGGCATCTGTCATCACCCTTTATGAAGTAACTGAGCCAGACAGTATGTATACATTGTTTAACACTTAAGAGCTTGAGCCCCCGAATCAGCAGACTTAGGTTCAAATCTTAGTTTCAACACTTCCTAGCTATTTTAGTGATCTTGGAGCAAGTTGCTGAATCTCTCTGAACCTCATTTATAAAATGGGTAAAACAATATAGGTTTTATATATAGGGACAGGTTTGTAAAAGGAGCTACTCAGAGCAGTTAGGAGAGAAGCCAGTATAGAACCAGCTTAATATTAGCTATTATTATCAGCAGATCAACTCCATAACCACCCTCCTCTTGGCATGGAAAAGCCCCCAATGGCAGAAAAGGTATATTTGGAAGCAGAAAAAAGGAAAGAAGAATAATTACTTTGATCCACTGATGAAAATTTTCAAGTTTTGTCTTTTTTTAAAATAATATTTATGTATTTGACAGAGAGAGAGACAGCGAGAGAGGGAACAGAAGCAGGGGGGTTGGGAGAGGGAGAAGCATGCCTCCTGCTGAGCAGGAAGCTGGGATGCAGGGCTCTGATCCCACAATGCTGAGACCATGACCTCAGCGGAAGGCAGACGCTTAATGACTGAGCCACCCAGGTGCCCCAATTTCTAAGTTTTCTGACTGACATCTGTTAAGGGGTATATATTTATGATGATAAATATTAGATTCTGAAAGGAAAAGCAGCAGCAATGTAAATGGTACTGTAACTGTTTTCCTTAATCCATACATACCACTTACTCCCTTTTGATGTGTTTGGTATCACTATAGCTTTCTCACATTTGGAACTAAACGAATCAATTATTCTAACACATTTAAGAAACATTTAAAGGATCACCTTCAGCTGGAAAATGGTAAGGGGTTCATTCCTTTCAGGTTATTAAAAATAGGGTATTAGCAGTACAAACACAAGAATACACAAATACTGCCACACATACATGTACCCCAAGATATTCCAAATACCACACTACCTACCTCAGAACAGTGTTTATCAAATTAAACCAACTCTTACCATCATTTATTATATAGATAATTTACTATATTTTCCTTTTTCCTGACTAACAGGAAAACACCTGACAAACACCTTAGGAAATAAAGAGGCAAGTACCAAAAATTTGCAAGTTTAGCAGTTCATCTAGAAAATAGGAACTTCATACTTTTAAACCATCTTTCGAGAACCTTCCCATTACTTATTTAGTATGGGCCTTTTAGGTCAAGACATCATTCTACCTCCTTTTTATTCCCCTCACTGATTTTCTAATTACTTTCTGAAAATTCAGGTACCTCAATGCCACTTTCATCTTGTGTACCCAGTCTTTTACCTCAGTCTTCTTTGCCATAGCCTGGTTTTTTCCCTTCCACCTCTGAGCCACTTTTGTAAGGTGATAGGTGTTGTAGAATATTAAAAGAATATTTTCAGGTGAGAAAGGGGCAAATGATTCCAACCTGTCCAAGGTTCCTGGTTAGCGGTTAAGAATGAACTAAATTCCACAATTATTGATTTCCAATTCTAAGCTCTTTCTTTGCAACTTAATTGTATTTCCCTTTAATACATTCGTGTCCTTTCTTGTAAAATCCTCTTTTATTCCTCATTAATAAAACACTGTATTCACTCAAAATCAAGAATTCCCGTAAACCCAAAGAACTCTTTTCAATTCTAATCATGTTCATTTATTTTCTGAATGGCATCATTTACCATAAAGAATGATAGAATTTATCTTTATTTTTGATTGTTTTGTAATTTTTGAACTTGATACTTAAAAAGTACAAAGGTGGTGTTATGGGTTGAAATGTGTCCCCCCTCACACACTCTCCCCACCATGATATGTTGAAGTCTTAAACTCAATACCTATGAACTTTACCTTATTTGGTAACAGGGTCTTTGCACATGTAATCAAGTTAAGATGAGGTCACTAGGGTGGGCCCTAAGCCAATAAGACTGGTGTCATTGTAAGAAAAAGGAAATTTGGTCTCAGATATAGAGGGATATGAAGACAGAGACAGAGGCTGGAATTAGCACTACTAGAAGTCAAGGAATCCCTGAGGCCAGCATGAGTTGAAGAAGTAAGTAAGGCTCCTCCTTTAGAGGTCTTGGAGGGAGAATGGCGTGGCCAACATCTCATTTTTGGACTTCCAGCTTCCAGAATTGTGAAAGAATAAATTTTTTTTTTTTAAAGATTTTATTTATTTATTTGACAGAGATCGCAAGTAGGCAGAGGGGCAGGCAGAGAGAGAGGAGGAAGCAGGCTCCCTGCTGAGCAGAGGGCCCAATGCGGGGCTCGATCCCAGGACCCTGAGATCATGACCTGAGCCGAAGGCAGAGGCTTTAACCCACTGAGCCACCCAGGCACCCCAAATTTCTGTTGTTGTAAAAGCCACCAAATTTGTAGTCCTTTGTATAGCAGTCCTAGGAAACTAATACAGGCAGAGAAAATATAATTTTTAAAATTCCATTAGACAATATTAGCATTATATTTAAATAGTCATTTAAAGTCAAACTATCCCCAAGTGTACATTACATTAAAAAGGAAAAAAATCTGTCTTTGGATTTTTTACATGATGGAATTAAAAGTCAAATACTCATATTCCGAATGAATTGATTTGGCCTTTGAAGAAAGTGATCAGACTGATAAGATATTTAATGATTAAAATGCCCCATTAGAGCTGCACAGCACTGAACCCTTCACTTACCCCTTCAACCCACTGCTCAAGTGAAGAAAGTGCTTGCTTACTTGTTATTAGTTGGTCCTGTTGCCAAGACATCAGACTGTAACTTTGGAAAGAACCCTTGCTCATATTTGCCTTGACCAATTTTCATATCAAGCAGATGTGGGTGGATTGCAGTGTGATCCATTTTCATTAGTCGCTGCTCAATTGATTGGGCTATAAATTAAATTTATAACAAATTAGAGGCATTTCATTGGCTAAACATTAAAACAATGCTTCCTCCAGTCATGCACCAAGGAATTAATTCTTTCTGACATTCTAAAATAATTTTTATAAAAGCTCTTGAGAAATCAGTATAATGTTAAGTATAAAAAGACTAATTTTAAGTGACTACTAGATGACTAATTTTCATGGTACGTGCTGCCTCTGTCAAAAGCAGGGCAGCAGGGTTAAAAATCTATAGACTGAAACAAGTTTCCCTTAAGGGGGATATTCAGTATTTTAATACTTCAATATTTCAATGGTAAATATTTAAGAAAAATATTTTCTTAATGAAAATATGGTTCTAAGTACATTTAAGAAAATGATGGCAAACAAAACATTGGCCTTGAACTGAAAGGGAAGGAAAAGCAAGCACAGTAGCCTTATATTACTTTAGTTCTTTGTACAAAGACCCATTAAATATCCATAGTTCTCCATTTGTAAACACAAGAAACGGTGTAAAGTTTATTACTTCACTTTTAGTAACAGTCACATTCTCATTAGTAGGAGTCATTTAGGAGTGTTTATTAGATCAAGAGGGGTAATGCAGAGAACTAGCAGGCATTTAGAAAATGTCCAGAGGATAAGAAACTGACTTTTGAAGAATAAATTAGGCTGAAGTTAAAAGATAGGAATTACTAAGATTTCTATTTTAAACCATTTAAAGTTAGGAGGATATCTCAAAGACCCAAGAAAGAGCAAACTATTTCAGAAAAATCTGATCTTAAATGTTTTTATGAATTGAGTTTTCAAGAGAAAATATATTTATGAAGCAAGACTAGGCCTTTAATCCTTTGCCTACAGATTACTAAAAGGGGAGAACAAGCAGTAATTGTCGTGGTGTCATAAACAGCACACTCTGGGAACTGCTAATCTTGGGATTCAAAAGAAGTAAAGAGGTATTTTTATAAGTATTTCATGGAACCAGTTTATTTTGCCCACTTCAATATCAGCAGATTGAGTGCTGCTGGTCCCTATACATAGTCTTAAAAACTTTCTTTTTGAGTGGAGAGGGGTCCGTCCATGACATATTCCACACCTGTCAAATGAACATGCTTAATACCATCTTCTGTGAGATTCATGCTTCACCTAAGCCAGTTCCTTGTGCTTGATGACAGCATGAAGGGATGTTTTTGCAGATGCCACTATTACCCTCTATGGCTTAAACTTCACAATATTAGATACCTACTTCAAACTTCCCTACTTTTTCCTTTATAATTCACATGAATTTATTCAAAAACTTCTTCAATTTCATTTTTAATGTGTAACTTGCAACTTCTCTTAAAACATCATCCATATGGTCTATGTTGGGTGAAAGAATGCCATGTTTTAATGTGAAATGGTATTTAATTTTCAATGATGCCCTCTGGCTCTCCACAACCCTATCTATAGTCTCCGTGCTTCCTAATATTTATAAAACACTTAATTAACAAATGGTTCAGGCAAAATAAAGCTTAGATTCATGGCACGGAATGGTCTGAAGTCCCTGCCAATTTTATGTTCCATGAAATACTACAAAATTCCATCTCTGCCAATGAATGCTTCTGTTTTTATGAAAAGGGGGAAAAAAAGTAGCTTCAGTTTTTTCTGCTGGATTTAAAATGACAGAGAAATCCATCTGATATTGAATTATTCTTCTTTAGTCAGGAAGCTTTTTAAAAACAAAAAGCATGATTCACAATAAGTTACTCTGGGGTTTATACTGAAGATTGCCATAGGGAGCATAATGCAATGTTACTTTTCAGTAATTATACCACCAGTGAATACTGAACATTCAGAAATTATTAAATGCCTGCTTTGAGAGGTCATGGGCCTGTTAGATTTTCAAGGGTTTGTGCCAATACTCATTTTATGTGATTGGTAAGAAAAAAAGAAAAACTCTGCATTACTATCAACTTGTCTTTCTGCACAGAAATCATGATGTTCTGGTGCCACAGTATCAACAGCAGATAGCCTCTGCCTAAACAGTTCACCTGCAAATCAAAATTTTTAGTTAGAGGCAAAACAAAAATAAAAGCAAAATAACAAAGGACAAAAAACAATAAAAATCTATACAAAACAACAAAATGCCAATCTCTATAGTTTTTGTTGTGGGGGGGTTGGTGGGAAGAGGATAATGTTACCTAGTGAAAGAAATAACCACCATTTATGGGGGATAGACACAGTTACAGCCAGCTGCTTTTTACTTAAAAAAAAAAAAAAAAAAGTCTTTGATAAATTAGGTTCCTGGGAGACTAAGCTTTAGCTTAATCTCATTTTCGTATGTTAAATCTATAATGGTATATTTTCAAGAGTATTATATAATTTCTGTGATGACAGTGGGAATGTCAAACTTTTTGAGAGGCTGACAGAAAATCTATTTTAACTGAAAAGATTTTCGGGAAGCACACAAATAAAGAAATCAGTGCTTAGCTCCATTAAAAAAATTGTCAGGAAGGGAGGAAGGAAATTTTCTTAACAAAGCATTATCTTATTCACATGGCTATTAAAGCACTGAAAGTCATACTATTCTCTGAATAGGCACAGACAATTTCATTCATTCCACTCCGTCACTTTCCAGAAACACAGAGGTAACTGCCACTTCTTGAAGGGGCTCCAAGATCTACCCTTGTATGTGGGAATACAACAGTATGATGTTTCAGTGAGTTATCAAAGAGACATTTTAAGACTATATAAAGACATCATTTACATATTTCTTTCCTTGAATATGTTATAACTACAGCATCACCACTCCTGTGACCGATCTATTTAAATAAAGTGAGAAAGGCAAGCACGGAAACAGAGCAAGAAACTCTTTCCTGCCTCTTTTTTCCTCCAGAGGAAAACTTGCTCAAATAGCTTCTGTATTAGAAAGGTGAAAAAAATGAAAACAAACAAAAAAAAGGGGTGGCACTCAGGTGATGGGTATCAGTTTTTCTGGCAAAGAAAGTGTTAGGAACAAGGTATAAACATATAAAATTGGGTGGATTGGTACACTTCACATTTTTTAAAAAAGATTTTATTTATTTACTTACTTGTTAGAGCACAAGCAGGGGGAGCGGCAGGCAGAGGGAGAAGCAGGCTCCCCGCTGAGCAAGGAGCCCAATGTGGGACTCGATCCCAGGACCCTGGCATTATGATCTGAGCTGAAGGCAGACACTTAACCGACTGAGCCACCCAGGCATCCTACTTCAAATGTTTCTTTACTAAATACATTTAATTTAATGTTTAATGTGGTATTAAGGCTCTAGGTGCTAGAATTGGTCAAATCTAAGTTCAAATCATGCTCCATCAATCACTAGCTATGCAATCATAAGCATGTTACCTAACCTCTCAGCTTTCTCAACTGTAAAATGAGGACACAAATAAGACAGGAAGTAAATGTGCCTATTCTCCCCCATTGTTAAGATAAAATGCAAAATGCATGTAAAACATGTGATACGATGTTTGGCACATAATAAGTACTTGGTAAATATACTGGCTATTAATATGATTATTTATTTAATGAACTATATATATTACTGCCAGACAAGACTGGTCAAGACTCATGATCCTCAAAGGGAAAAACTATGTCAGAGTTGGAGAAACTCTAATTTGAATACAGGAATCCAGAGATTTAATTTCAGTAAGTGAAACTATTAAAAATTAATGGCACCACTAAAAAGCAAATATACTGTCAAGTAAATTAGGCAACGTCTCAGATTTATTACTTTAAATTAATACTTATCTTTCCTTTAATGAAGAGAAAAGAAGTGAGAAGTAAAAAGGCAACATAAGCAGCAAGAAAAATTTTTATTTTTTCAATTAAGGCAATAAAAGAGAATAAGACAAAATTCACAGCAACCTTATGGTTATATTCCATTCAATTTGTTACTGTTTCTCCCCCCTTCTTTCTTTCTTTTTTCTTTTTTGGAGGGTACAGAGCAGAGGGAGAGAGAAAGAATCTTGAAAGAATTTCCACGCCCAGCACGGAGCCAGACACGACGTTCAATCTCAAGAACCTAAGATCATGACCTAGCTGAAATCAAGAGTTGGATGCCTATCTAAGCTATCTAGGCACCCCTGTTTTTTCTCTTCTAAGAGCAGAGGAATGTCACATAGGAATGGAATGGATATTAACTCACAGAAACAGAAGGAAACAAAACTACAGAAAGCACCTGATACAGTATAAAGGATTAGCCATGAAGTCTAAAACTGAAAATTAATTTTTGGTTTATAAGGCTAACAATGTGTAAAAAGAAACAATCATGGATTTTAATTTTAAAAGGCATGAAAAATGTACCTGCTTCTTTTAAAGTGCTGCATTTCTGATAAATAGATGTCCTCAAGGTGGGCGCCCTTACATTATACAGTCTCATCTTCTCAATCCGAGAGTCAAAGACCCGAAGCAATGAATCCTTCTCTTCCCACTGAGACATAATTTTATTATCAATAAAGGTGGCAAACATCTGTGTTTCAATGAAGCGTGAAAGAAATGGCAGGTAAGGCTCAGGCTGGTCAGAGAGAAAGGAAGCCTGTAATGAGATAATTAGAAATTATTAGTGCAAAGTGGCTATCTTAGTACTTTGTGATAAATCTGAAAATTTGCTGGTGATGTCATTTTTTAAAAAATTGTGTAACGTGCAAAACTGATGCTAGATATTTAAAAATCTCAAAAAAAATCCCTTCTTTTAAATTCATGGAATTTAGGTTGCTTAGGTCTTTAGCTTGATCCTTCCAAAATTGATTTACATTCTGGTACTCATGATCATTAGGTAGAAAAGAGGGTATCACTAATGAAAGATGGTGGATCAGTTACTGTAATATCATCAATCATCCTCTTCACCTACCAGGAATTTTGACCCCTTTCCCAGTGAGCTGTGATTTTTTTCTGCTCTCTATTCCTAGCCTATGCAATATACCTTTGAGTCATAAGGCACTGATGTGATCAATGGATACAACTGAGATAAATAAGCAATAACCTTACAAAAATCATGGAATTTGTGCTTATGAGTAAAATCTTTGTCAATTAGATGTTTTTCTAGGTCCCCAACACTGTTTGAGACTGATGGATAAGTGCTAATTCAAGATCAAACTCCTTCCAGACCTGTGCTGTTTAAAGAGTCTGGGCCTTAACAACTAAAAAAAGGTATTGCCTGAAAAACCATCCAAAGCAAGCTGAGCCTTTGGAAAACATGTATAACCAGCTGCACGTTCCTGTTACCAGCTGTCGGGTGCATGGAATGGTTCAGTAAATAGCGATCAGTTCCTAGTTCAAAGTGTTTGTTTTTCTGTGGTTCTTCAGGTCCACGTGTTAAAGGAATTCTAGTCACAGTCTGATATTAGCTGAAATTTGGAAGTAAATTACTATTTCAGCTGGTGGGTTGATTCTGCTCTTCACTCTTTTGAGTAGGTGCAGTGTGGCAGAAACTAGAAGGCGAAAGATGGAAGGGTAAGTTCTGACATAAGATTAGTCTCCTTAATACTCATTGGGCTAGCATATGTATTTTTCATTCTAAAACGTAGGAAGCCTTTAAAAAAGTTCCTTATAGAAACCCCCTTATTTAATCTAAGTGTCTCCACAGTTCAGATGTATTTACATAAATCCAAATAGCCAGCTAAAGGTTCACAGTAGTCTCTAAAAATCAATTCGCCTCTTCAAAAGGTATTTTATAGATAAATATCAATTTTACTTTTTCTAGAGCAACCACCTTCCACCCTCCTCTTAAATGGGCCAAATATCTGATTTTTGATATTCAGACCCTCATGGACTACAACACTTCAGTCAGCAAAGACTTGGCTTGGAGGCTCACTAGTATGTGATAGTCCTGTACATTTTCCTAGTGAAAAATGAAATGATTACAAGCCTTCTGGAATCCACATGAAATTATCATTTCTCTAGTAGTTATATAAAAAGAATTCCATTTATAGTCTGAAGCTACATAAAGATTAAGAAGGAAGAGAGTACCAGTGCTCAATTTAGATAAGAATTTGAATTGCCCCAAGGATAAATCATGAGTATACACAGATTAGTTCTGAGTAAGGTAGGAAAAAAATGGTTAAGCTTAATAAGAAAGGAAAACCTAAAAGTGGGAATACATTTGGAGAAGTGAAGGCTTCTTAATTAAAGAAGTTTTCTTAAATATAAAATGCATCAGAACTTCCTTTGAATATAGAAACTTCAACTGAAAAAATGTCTGATGCAATCAGAAAATAATCTTTGATACTACCCACCTTTACAAAAAAAGTTTATGAATATTTACTTGTCAGAGATTCCATAATTGTAGATTAGCCTCTTAGAATACATTAGCCCCTCTGAGAGGTCTTTCATGACACAAAGCTACCATCTAGCAAAAACCTATAAGGCATTTTAATAGCAGTATGATGATGCCCTGTCACTCACAGAGGAAAGGACTGCAATACACCCTGACCTGAAGAGTTAATGCACTCCTCTAAGTCTTTTGTCTGGAAAACAAAAACAAAAACAAGCCAAAAAACTGGTGGATATCATCAGAGAATCCGCCAGAAGACTCTATAGTAAACCTTAGAAAGAAGCTTCAACTTCAGCAGGACAATGGGAAGCCAGTGTCATTTTCTGTCTCCCTTTCCCACAAACTTTGGAACAGAATATTAAAGTCATAAAACCTAATTCATTCACTTTTTCTCTCTTTTGATCCTAAGATGAGGTAAAACTGTCTTCTGAAACTAAAGTGTTATCTTTACATGGAGAAGTTGAGATGTCATCATAGGATAAAGACAAAATATAAGAATAAGTTCTTAATGGGAAGGGAGAGAGGAAAAATCTGTGGTTAAAAAAATGAACAAAACCAGTAAGACAGCCTACTAAGAGCCATAAAAAAGGAAAGGAAGTGGTTTTTTTTTTTTTTTTTTTTTTTTTTTACTTTGTCAAAGTTCTGCATTTGTTCTCGGTTGGTCAGCCAGGATTCCATGTCCTGGGCAGTCTGAATCACAAACGCTTCATAATCTGCAAACATCTGTGTAAAGCGGTTAGCAAAGACCTCACGGAGCTGCACGTTGAGCTGATAGTCCCTTAGTTCTGCCTCTTCACACTGCAGTTTTAAATCCTTTTCTTTTTCATTCAGTGTGGCAGAGAGGTCCATTTTTTCCACAGTCACACCGGTCCGCTTGGCCAGAGCTTGGAGGCGGGCTATGGTTTCATTGCCCTTCAGTAACTCATACATGCTGATGTTGTTAGTGGAGACGTTACCATTCTTCTTGTCATTAACCAAGTCTTTCAGAACCAGATTCTTCAGTTTTGTGGCACTCTCACTGCAATGGAGGCTACCCTCAGGAGGGATCCCAAATTGAAGAAGCACTTCAGAGAGTTCCTGGATAAAATCCATCTTATTGGGGAATTGTGGAAATTCTTCAGGCAGTTCAATAAAATGGTTGTCAATATCCACAAAACACAAATTAGCCTGAAAGAAAAAGTAATACAAATGTTTTAAAATAACATTTTTATATCCTAAAATATTCTTGCCAACTATTAGAAACAAAATCATAGATTGCACGTTACCTTTTTTTAAATTGAGATATAACTGATATATAACATTTTGCTTCAGGTATGTGATTCAATATATATTATGAAATGATCACCACACTAAGTCTAGTTAACATCCACCACCACACATAATTACAATTTTTTTTAATGACAAGAACTTTTAAGACCTTACAATGCCTTTTATGTTAGCTTTCTGAAGGTTAAGAATTTTTATTCTTTAAAAATAAATTTCTTTTTCCACCATTTTTTCCCTATGTGAGTATTCCATACCATAATTAATAAAAATGGATAATTTTCTCTGGGTCTTAGCAATGTGTTATCATCTGGACATGATTCTGTAAAATATGACATCTCTCTGGCATTCCTAAATGAGTAAAGGTGCACAGAGATGTAATAACTTAGAAATAGAAGGCACTGGGTAAAATGAGCACTGGCTGAATCCAGTCAGAACTTTGTATGCCATTCTACTGCTCTGACACCATTTGTAATTTAGAATTAACAATAATTGCTAAATTTTAGCAGTTGCAGTCCCCTCAAATGGGATGAAATTGGCAAAGAACAATCCAATTCACAGAATATCCACAAATTTTCACCCTATCCAAAATTAGCTTCAACCTCTTAGCAAAACCATTTCAGAAGTTATTAGACAAACAGCAGGAGGCAGAGAGTGAGAGAGATAAGTGCTTAGACAATTACAAATGATTACTCCTTGAATAATTAAGAGTTGATTCTGGAGATATTTTTTAGTTGAAAAAAAGACAAAATAGAAATCAGAGGAAAATTTTTTTGAGTTTGCTTACACTATAGATTGTGAATTTATATAGAATAAAAAGACTTTTAAATATTTTCTAAGTAGTTAATGGACAATTCAAGGAGCCAAGTACATGTATGAAATTCTCATTATCCCTCAGGTATGTGATTATAGTAGACTCCAAAACAACACTTTACTTTTCCTGTTCATACTCTCTTAATCAGAACAAGGCTGTCAGTGTAAAGGAAGACTGTGCTCATGGACTGTGGGAGGATGGGAAGCCAAAGGTATAGCCCATCACATAAAATTGATCCTGACTACATTAGTGGCTGGACACAGGGCAAAGGGTGGAAGTTAACCAATAGAATAGGAAGTTTCACTTCAAGTTTCCCCTTCTCTCCTACAACCCTGACACCCAGGTCAGCTAGGAGACAATTCACACTGCCCTTTGATCCTGTGTGGCAACATAAGGTGAAAAAAGGAGAGCAAACTGTTGGGTTTTTATTTTTCTCTTTTGATCCCTGCTCTTTATGTCAGATGCTAATGCACAGAAAGTACAAATTTCTGTATTTAGCTCAATCAAAACTCCATATTTTCCCCCCATCTAAAAACAGAGAATCAACAATGCTTCTTTTTCAAGCCTGAAGTGATTTCTGAATCCAACTCTTTAATTCTGCAGATGAAGAAACTGAGGCCCAAGAAGTTAGGTGATTTCCTGACACCTGTTCCAGGTAAGCACCCTCAAACAGCCTGGTGGCTTAAAAGATTTTTTTCTCCCATTTTCTTCATCTCCAAGAGCAGTAGTTTCCTCTAAATAAAATAAGAGATGAAGTCAAATCTTTCTGAAGACCGTACTGCTGCCTACAGCTTTCTTTAAATCCATATCTTTATATACGTATCTCTAGTCTCTAGAAAGCAGATTTGTTGAAAGGCTTAGGGGAGAAAGTAGGTCACTACAATTCAAATGGATGATTCAGTATCTTTAAAAATGGAAGAAAAAAATTCACCAACTTGCTAATCTAAATGTTAGCCAACCAACCTCCCACCACTTACATTTTGTACTGTCACCTTCATTAATGCCTTTCTGCTATCCTTTTCTATCCTTCTTCTATGAAAAAACACTACATCTGGGAAATTTTAAAGCGTGTTATGTTCATACAATTACTGCTGAGCTGAAAGAGTAGAGCAAGGTGGATGTTCCAGCACCACACTACTGACCTGGCTTCAATGTTCCCATGAGTCTCTGATACCTCCCCATGACTGCGTAGATGGGCCTGTTGGGGCCTTTATTATCACAAAATGAAAACAGGGTTAACTTGTGTTATGAAGACTTAATGAAGAAAACCCAAAAAGCCTTTTTTCCTAAAACAAAGAAGTCCATACAATCGGGCATTCGGATAAGTCACTTTTTAAATTTTAATACCATTAAACTAAAAAATTATTATCAGAAGAGCTCAAGAAATTTTATATACACAATAAAAAATATACTTGACTCTCAGTTCTACATTGTTTTAGGACTATTTCTGTATCTTAAATGATCAATGCTGCTCACACATTCATGGTAAGTTATCACTTCTAGTTAAAAATGGAAAACATGGGCGCATGGGTGGCTCAGATGGTTAAGTGGCTGCCTTTGGCTCAGGGTCCTGAGATCGAGCCCCACATCAGGCTTCTTGCTCAGTGGGGAAGCCTTCTTCTCCCTCTGCCTCTGCTCCCCCCATTTGTGCTCTCCCTCTGTCAAATAAATTAAAAAAAAAAAAAAAAAAAAAAAAAAAAAAAGAAAAACATTTCCTTAATGGAAAGGCGACAAAGACTTGAAGTTCAATCATTTCTTCTGCCATGAAGCTTTCCTATGTCCCTACCCTAAAGGCATTCTGATTTCCTCTGCATATATATTTAGTTCATTCATTCCTCTTATTTTCTCTTTTAATCTGTTATTAATATTTATAAATGACTTATTTTGGAAAGCAGAAATTTATGTTATTTAATGTCTCCTACACTGGTAGTATATGAGACAACTGTATGGTGAATGAATAAGTAAGGCTCAAGGAGATGGTCATTTTGTGGTACCCCAAAAATGTACACAGGAGGAGGAGGTATCCAGGCATGTGAGGCCAGGGCAACTCTTTCCATGCTTAGTAAGGGATATAGTTTTTCAATGGCTGAAGTTAAACTGGCAAAGGGTAAGGCGGAAGAGAATATGTAAAATATTCCCACAGACATAAAAGACTCTTATTCTCACAAAACAAACTGAGGGTTGTTGGGGGGGTTGGGATGGTAGGGCCAGGGTGGTTGGGTTATGGACATTGGGGAGGGTATGTGATAGAGTGAGTTCTGTGAAATGTGTAAACCTGATGATTCACAGACCTGTACCCCTGGGGCAAATAATACATTATATGTTAATAAAAAATAATTTAAAAAATAAAGAATGCTTCTCCAATAAAATAAAATAAAATAAAATAAAATAAAATAAAATAAAATAAAATAGTCCTCTAAAATCTCAGGGTAAGATACAACAAAAAGAAAAGTGGAAAAGCATTCTAATTTAGTTTTTTGATTTTTTTTAAAGGTTTTATTTATTTGTTTGACAGACACGGATCACAAGTAAGCAGAGAGAGAGAGAGGAGTAAGCAGAGAGAGAGAGAGGAGGAAGCAGACTCCCCGCTAAGCAGACAGCCTGATGCAGGGCTTGACCCCAAGACCCTGGGATCATGACCTGAGCTGAAGGCAGAGTCTTTAACCCACTGAGCCACTCAGGCGCCCCTAGTTTTTTTATTTTTTTTGCCCACGATTTACTGTAAAGATAAGAATGGGAGAAAGTGAGGTACAGTTCTCCTCAATTCATCCACAGTACTATATCTTTTACCATCACTCTCCCCACCCCAAGCCCCCAAAAAACAATATAAAAAAATGACTACCTGTGTCTATCATTTTAGAACTATGGGGAAAGTAAGTGGGTGGTTAATTATACGTCTATGTACTTAGTTATCTAGCAACTAAAATCATGCCTTCTTAAAATAATCGTTTTGTAAACTTATCATTTTCATAACTATTCTAAGAAAACCCGTCACTATTTTTTTTTTTTTTTTTTGGCCTGTCACTATTTTTACTTATTATTTTATTTTACAGTTTTCAGGGAAAGGAGAGAGGAGGTGAATATTATGAGTGAGTATATTTAAATCACTTTTTTAAATGGCTATTTTTATACTTACTTCTTCTCCAAAATTATGTGAAGTAGATTACTTCATCTCATTGTAAAATGCTATAAGCACAAAGTGGTATGTGTACATTCTAAAGATAAACTTAAAAATTCTGAATGCTCTTGCAGCAATGTCTGTGATTTTCTAATTTTTTACTCATTAAACCAACACTTCAATAAATGTACATGCTCATCTATTCAGAGAGTCAGCTGTTAGCATTTCCTTCTAAAATAATGATGTACTAACATATATACAGAAGCACTGCTTTTTCACAGCTGACCCAGGTTATTTCCTGTTATTCTACTCTCCGAATAGATGGGCATGTACATTTATTAAAGAGTGTGATTTAATGAGTAAAAAATTAGAAAACCACAGACATTGCTATAAGAGCATTCAGAATTTTTAAGTTTATCTTTAGAAAGTCAGAGAATACATGCAGATATGGAGAGAAAAAAATTTCCCAACTACAAAAATATCAAGCGGGCATTTAAAAACTCTCAACAATTAGAACTCATATAAAAATGGAAAGAATATTTGTACACCTAAACATATTATCTTATAAAAATATCATTTGGTTAATATATAAATAGACCAGATACTCAACAGGAATCTAAAACACATCACTATTTAAGTCCTTAAACTTAAATTGCATTTAAAATAGATATAGCTAAAAAAAAAAAATCTATCTATCTATATATATAGATATAGCTACTTTATTTCTTTTTCCTTGAAAATTTAAAGGATTACTTCTTTGAACCAACAAGATACTTAGATTAAAGAGAAAACAAGAGAGTTCAGGTAACAGAGAAAAGAGATATAATGGGGAGGCAAAAGCAGAGAACATGCATAAGCTCAAAAAGAACAAGACAGACTACATATGTATTTTATATGATCTGAATCAAGCTATTTTCCCCTGAACAAAAATGTTAATTTTGGTAGGGAAACATTCACTGGAATAAAGTAAGCAATGAATGATTACAGGAATCATTGTCACATATAATGGCTGTGGCTTAGTGTGTTATTTTAAATTCACTTACTAAAATGAGAACCTCTATGGGAAATAAGAACAAATAAAAGCAAAGCACAGCATAAAAGATTTTATTAAGAAAGGTGCTAATTAAAGAGCTAATAATATAAAGTAGTTAACTACTTAATGTTTTGTAATAGGCCATGCCACTCTCATCGTATTTATTATTTTTTTAAACATTTTATTTATTTATTTGACAGAGAGCACAAACAGGGGGAGTAGCAGGCAGAGGGAGAGAGAGAAGCAGGCGTCCCGCTGAACAAGGAGCCTGACACCCTGGGATCATGACCTGAGCGGAAGCCAGATGCTTAACCAACTAAGCCACCCAGGCGCCCCAATACTTCATTTCAAAGGTTTTACATTCCAATTCTGAGTACCATTAAGGACAGTCAAAAACAAGTTTCAAAATGTTTCCAAGAATTCCTATATTCTTCTTAAACAACATCTGAAAATACAACCCACAGAAAGCATAGTAACCTTAAGGAGGTCTTAAAGCTAGAGGTTAGAATTTTTATCTCAATCACCTAGTCAAGCGGACATTTAGAAAAAGTTGGTAACTAGCTTTAGGTCTGAAAACAAAGAATGCAGAAGTATTTGATATCTTCATTATCCACAGCTTGCTGAGAGATGTTACTTTTCTTTGATGGAAGTCAAGAATCAAATTCATCTCAATTAATACAATGACTTTAAAGATTTTAATCATGTGAAAACCTGGGCTATATTGTTTAAAAGGAGAATTTATAACATGAATGGGGAAAAGAAATTAAATGTTATTAGAATAATGAAGCAACTAGATCATGTTCTTTTGTTCCATCTTCACAAATTTATAGCTGTGAACATTTGCTACTGTCCTGTTTGAACCATGCTGAATTAATAACTAGTCATGGTAACCCTCAGATGTCAGGATTTGTGGTCTATGGCTCAGGCTCTACCCTAGCTCTACTTCCAAGATTCAGGATGGTCAGAGACACAGTTTAGACAAAGACAATGCTGTCTAACAATAAAGTGGCCTTGACCTGAATCAACAAATAGCAAATGCTTTTTCACTCATTGTAAGTTTTACCTCTTGAGGAAGTTCTAGTTTAGAACGGTCAGTTCCTTCTTTTGACTGAAGGCCCATCAGATAAGGGACAGGAGCATCAAGAAAATGTAGCAGAGAAGCAGGGAGGATGGGCACATAAACATGCTGCCACTGAAATGGGAACAAAAGTGTGGTGATGCCTTCCGCCACAGTCATCAAGCGTTGATAATCTGTACAGAACAAGGGAAAAAGGAGGGGAAGATTCCAAATAAAAACATAATCACTGCATTAAGCTTGAAAATACTAATTTTCAGAAAAAAATCTTATTATAATAAATAAAATGTTTCTTTGTGATCATGCAGAAAATAGGTAAATTCTTTCCCAACACAATTAAAGAGTTCAATAGTTTCACTTGAATGGTACTAAGGGGGTATGAGTAGGTGGGAAACATTATCTTATTCTTGCTTCTGAAATCACCAGTATGTAAGTTTACATTCCCTTACAATGTGGAGGAAAGAAGAACTAATAAAATTGCTCTTGGTATGTCTCGCATTGAAAATGTACCAGGATACTGCTACTGATCACTTTTTGTATACATGCATATCAATATAATCCCCAATTCAGAGGCTCTTTTTTTCTTGTATATATGATCAAGGTTATGGCCTATGGTTATCCTGATTGTATTTATCTTAGCTTTCATTTTGTGGGTATAAGAAATCAAAGATACATACATTCATAATCATCCTTCCTATATTTAACCCCAACTACATAACTATAAAATCTAGAAACAAAGTGAAAGTTACCTGAAAATTAAAGGTTGATTTTTGCTTGTGTTTTCTTCACATGAATTAATCAAAACTACAAACTGCTTATAATATTAAAGTGCCCTCCCGATTTTATTGAGATATAATTGACACATAACACTGTATTAGTTTTAGGTGTATGATACAATAATATATGTATATACTGTGAAATGATTACCACAGTAAGTTTGGTTAACATCCATTACCTCACAGAGTTACAAACAAGAGGTGACCCTCTTAAACTACTCTGCCATGGGGGTGCTTTATACGTCCATTGTCTATAATCCTTATTTAAGCCTTTAGAGACAGATGTGTTTAGAATTCATTATTTTTTTTATAAAGGTAGTATTGTGAGGTGCCTGGTGGCTCTCTCAGTTAAGCATGCATCTGCTTCAACTCAGGTCATGATCCTGAAGTTCCAGGATCAAGCCCTGAGCCTCAAGTAGGGCTAGCTCCTCACAGACAGTCTGCTTCTCCCTCTCCTGCTCCTTCCCCCGCTCATGCTCTTTCTCACCCTCTCCCTCAAATAAATAACCAAGTAAATAAATAAATAAGATCTTAAAAAAAAAAAAGGTAATACTGTGCATATACCATGTACATGAAATATCTAGGTTAGCACCCTATAAGAAAACACATTAATATTTCTGCAGCAAACTTTGAGTGTCCCAATAGGACTGATAAAAAATTTAAATAGGGTCACTCTGGTTCAGGTCTGCTTTTTCAATAAATGAGTTACAAAAAGAATCTTTGATTTTCTGCAATTTTTTGGATTTAAAAATTGAAGAGAAAGGATATTATGGACTTGTAATTTTGCTCTCACAGAATTCACTATGCACAAAAACAATAAAATCTGGGGCAGTAAGATTTTGGGGAAGTCTTTTAAAAAAGGTTTTAAAAAAATGATCAGATGCTATTTGGTTCGTACCAACCCAAAGAACACCTGACCAAACATAAATAGAATGTTTTCTGCTTAAAAATCTTTCTCGTGTTGTTTTATACTTTGTAGACAACTACCTTTAGTAGTCTAAAGTAGGATTTTGGTAATGAATCATCAGCTATCCATACCAAGTATACTTTAGAAGTCTCCTTATGTGATTCACTATTAAGACTTAAATTTTATGGGGTACCTGTCTGGCTCAGCGGGTAGAGCATGCAACTCTCGATCCTGGAGTTCTAGATTTGAGTCCCATGTTGGGTGTAGAGATTACTTAAAAAATTCTTAAAAGTGAAACCTGTCTATGGGAATACTTTCAAAACACAAATACCGGGGAGGAGTCAAGATGGCGGAGAAGTAGCAGGCTGAGACTACTTCAGGTTGCGGGAGATCAGCTAGATAACTTATCTAAAGATTGCAAACACCTACAAATCCAACGGGAGATCGAAGAGAAGAAGAACAGCAATTCTAGAAACAGAAAATCAACCACTTTCTGAAAGGTAGGACTGGCGGAGAAGTGAATCCAAAGCGACGGGAAGATAGACCGTGGGGGGGAGGGGCCGGCTCCCGGCAAGGGGCGGAGCAACGGAGCACAAAATCAGGACTTTTAATTTAAAAGTCTGTTCTGCTGAGGGACATCGCTCCAGAGGCTTAACCGGGGTGAAGCCCACGCGGGGTCAGTGTGGCCTCAGGTCCCGCAGGGTTACAGAAGGATCGGGGGTGTCTGAGTGTCGCAGAGCTTGCAGGTATTAGAACGGGGAAGCCGGCTACAGAGACAGAGCTGAGGAGTGACTCTCAGCTCGGGGTTACCTTGAACCGGTCGCAGGCTCGGTCAGCTCGGAGCGCCGCCGGAGGCCAGGGTGACGGGAGTAATTGGGCGCTGTTCTCTGAGGGCACACTGAGGAGTGGGGCCCCGGGCTATCGTCTCCTCCGGGCCGGAGACTGGGAGGCCGCCATCTTCATTCCCGTCCTCCGGAACTCTACGGAAAGCGCTCAGGGAACAAAAGCTCCCAAAAGCAAACCCGAGCGGATTACTCAGCCTGGCCCCTGGTAAGGGCGGTGCAACTCCGCCTGGGGCAAAGACACTTGAGAATCACTACAACAGGCCCCTCCCCCAGAAGATCAACAAGAAACCCAGCCAGGACCAAGTTCACTTACGAGGAGTGCAGTTTCAATACCAAGGAGAGCAGCGGAATTCCAGAGGAGGAGAAAGCAAAGCACGGAACTCATGGCTTTCTCCCCATGATTCTTTAGCCTTGCAGTTAATTTTTTTTTTCAATTTTTTTTCTCTTCTTCTGCTAAATTTTTTTAACTTTTACCCTTTTCTTTTTTAACGTTTTTTAACTAGTTTATCTAATATATATATATTTTTTCCTTTTTATATTTTTTCATTATTGGTTTTCTTTTTTTATTTGTTTCTTTTTTTTTTTTTCTTTCTGAACCTCTTTTTATCCCCTCCCCCCCCTCACGATTTGGGATCTCTTCTGATTTGGCTAAAGCATATTTTCCTGGAGTTGTGGCCATCCTTTTAGTATTTTACTTGTTCCTTCATATACTCTTATCTGGACAAAATGACAAGGCGGAAAAATTCACCACAAAAAAAAGAACAAGAGGCAGTACCAAAGGCTAGGGACCTAATCAATACAGACATTGGTAATATGTCAGATCTAGAGTTCAGAATGACAATTCTCAAGGTTCTAGCTGGGCTCGAAAAAGGCATGGAAGATATTAGAGAAACCCTCTCAGGAGATATAAAAGCCCTTTCTGGAGAAATAAAAGAACTAAAATCTAAACAAGTTGAAATCAAAAAAGCTATTAATGAGGTGCAATCAAAAATGGAGGCTCTCACTGCTAGGATAAATGAGGCAGAAGAAAGAATTAGAGATATAGAAGACCAAATGACAGAAAATAAAGAAGCTGAGCAAAAGAGGGACAAACAGCTACTGGACCACGAGGGCAGAATTCGAGAGATAAGTGACACCATAAGACGAAACAACATTAGAATAATTGGGATTCCAGAAGAAGAAGAAAGAGAAAGGGGAGCAGAAGGTGTATTGGAGAGAATTATTGGAGAGAATTTCCCCAATATGGCAAAGGGAACAAGCATCAAAATCCAGGAGGTTCAGAGAACCCCCCTCAAAATCAATAAGAATAGGTCCACACCCCATCACCTAATAGTAAAATTTACAAGTCTTAGTGACAAAGAGAAAATCCTGAAAGCAGCCCGGGGAAAAGAAGTCTGTAACATACAATGGTAAAAATATTATATTGGCAGCAGACTTATCCACAGAGACCTGGCAGGCCAGAAAGAGCTGGTATGATATATTCAGAGTACTGAACGAGAAAAACATGCAGCCAAGAATACTATATCTAGCTAGGCTATCATTGAAAATAGAAGGAGAGATTAAAAGCTTCCAGGACAAACAAAAACTGAAAGAATTTGCAAACACCAAGCCAGCTCTACAGGAAATATTGAAAGGGGTCCTCTAAGCAAAGAGAGAGCCTAAAAGTAGTAGATCAGAAAGGAACAGAAACAATATACAATAATAGTCACGTTACAGGCAATACAATGGCACTAAATTCATATCTCTCAATAGTTACCCTGAATGTTAATGGGTTAAATGCCCCAATCAAAAGACACGGGGTATCAGAATGGATAAAAAACCAAAACCCATCTATATGTTGCCTACAAGAAACTCATTTTAAACCCGAAGACACCTCCAGATTTAAAGTGAGGCTGTGGAAAAGAATTTACCATGCTAATGGACATCAGAAGAAAGCAGGAGTGGCAATCCTTATATCAGATCAATTAGATTTTAAGCCAAAGACTATAATAAGAGATGAGGAAGGACAATATATCATACTCAAAGGATCTGTCCAACAAGAAGATCTAACAATTGTAAATATCTATGCCCCTAACGTGGGAGCAGCCAACTATATAAACCAATTAATAACAAAATCAAAGAAACACATCTACAATAATACAATAATAGTAGGGGACTTTAACACTCCCCTCACTGAAATGGACAGATCATCCAAGCAAAAGATCAACAAGGAAATAAAGGCCTTAAATGACACACTGGACCAGATGGACATCACAGATATATTCAGAACATTTCATGCCAAAGCAACAGAATACACATTCTTCTCTAGTGCACATGGAACATTCTCCAGAATAGATCACATCCTCGGTCCTAAATCAAGTCTCAACTGGTATCAAAAGATTGGGATCATTCCCTGCATATTTTCAGACCACAATGCTCTGAAGCTAGAACTCAATCACAAGAGGAAATTTGGAAAGAACCGAAATAAATGGAGACTAAACAGCATCCTTCTAAAGAATGAATGGGTCAACCAGGAAATTAAAGAAGAATTGAAAAAAGTCATGGAAACAAATGATAATGAAAACACAACGGTTCAAAATCTGTGGGACACAAAAAAGGCAGTCCTGAGAGGAAAATATATAGCAGTACAAGCCTTTCTCAAGAAACAA